GCCAAGATCGCAGGAGAATGGACACATTCTAACCTTCTTGTAGGCTCTCTGTTCCCATAGGATTCCCAAGGTTGCTGGAAAAACCCTGTTTTAAGGGCTTTCCAGAAGGATGGGGCCAATCTCACCTTGGGGGGAATGATGCTCCAGAGAATGGGAGCCACCACAGAAAAGGCTCCCCTCCTGGGTCCCCTCAAATAGAACTCCTTGTCAGATGGGACCTGTAATATACTGCTTCTGCTGGACCTGATGGGACCAGTAGATGTAATCAGGAAGAGGTGATCCTTCAGATTAGAACGTAGTTAGGCCCCAAGACTTGGAGAAAGATTCCCCACTTTTTAAAGGAGGTGCTTAAATCCATCACACTAACCTTCTCTGCCTTCTGATATTAACAGGCCTGAATCCAGATTATGGACCATGATGCTCCTGCTAGGAACCTGTCTGCTTTACTGTGCAAGGGTCTTAATGCCCATCTGTGTGGTCACCATGAGCGCTCGCTTTGACTGGGACAAGAAACAGTCTGGAATCGTGCTGAGCAGCTTCTTTTGGGGTTATTGCCTAACTCAAGTTATTGGAGGCCACCTGAGTGACCGGTATGGACAATACTGAATTAGGTGGTCTTAGGACCGCTTTGGCATTGGATTATTTATTTGTTATTCAAAATTCAATAAAATTAATATTCAATCATTATTAATTAATTAATTATAGTAATAAGAATGTGCCACTCACCTTTAAATGAACCATGGACGAATTTGCATTTTAAATATGAATTTTGATCTTACGTCTTCTCTTTCATGGTTTCTTTATCGTCTTCATCACCATCTTCTTATTTATTTGATTTATATCCTTCCTTTCTATCCAGAGAGCATTCAAAGCAGCCCACTACGAAACCTCTTAGACTGTCAGCAATTACATATTAATCCCACTGAAGTCACCTGTTGAATGCTTTCAGATATGCAATTCCGCTGCATGTCAATCACCAAATAGTCTGTACAATATCAGAGCGTGATGAAAATCTCTGAAGAGATAAACCTGGTTTCTTGAAAGTGACCATGTAGGTGGAATGGCACATAAAACTATACAAGCAGGTGACCTCTTGGATGTATTGATCCCATGCTTAATTGGAAAATATGTATTCCTTCTGCAAGGTTTTTGCTGCATTCTGTACAACTTGGGTCATGCCCAGTTCCTGTTTTCAGCCACTGCTTTTTGCACTAAATCAGCAATTTTGGTGTGCAGAAAATGTTCTTGCTATCAATACCCTAATTGTCTTCCAGGATAGGAGGGGAGAAAGTCCTTCTCCTCTCTGCATCAGCCTGGGGAACTATCACAGCCATCACCCCCCTGCTCATCTCCTTAGGCTCTGCCCACCTGCTTCTTATGACCTTTACTCGCTTTCTTATGGGGCTATTGCAGGGTAAGACAATCTGTTTCCAAAAGTTTTACTCAGCTGAGAAATGGAAAGAAGTAGGACTTCATGATTTCACAGTCATGAGGATAATGCAGTATCTTTAAGCAGCTGCATGGCCAAGAGAACGCCTACCGTAGAAGTCTGCTGCAACAATTGTGCAGAAAAAGGATGGTCTAATTCAGAAGTCAATACGTAGTTCCAACATTCAGAATTAGGATCAATAGCATTTTGCCAGTCTATGAGCCCATTTTGTAGAACGTCAGCTTGTGGCATCGTGAAGACTAACGTGTTTATTGTAAGATGCCCTTTTATTGCCTTCATTCAGTTCATGGGACCTGCAAGAACCTGCTAGAAAATGAAAGTGATGTTACAGAATGTTCACAACAGTCCTGCTTTGAAAGGGAAAGTGGTCTGCCCAAGACCATTGACCAGCAGGGCAATTTCTCTATGAAGAGAAACTGCAGCATTCAAAGGACCTGTCCCATTACTGCTGCTGATTATAATGGCGTTTCTTTCTGTCTCTCTGTCTTCTTTATTAGGAGTCTATTTTCCTGCCTTGGCTAGTCTACTTTCCCAGAAGGTGCAGGAGAAGGAACGAGCATTGACGTACAGCACAGTTGGAACCGGATCTCAGTTTGGGTGAGTTCCTTCAAGCAGAGAATGGGGCAGTAAAGAAAAGCATGAACACATACATTTCCTGCAATCTGGTACAGTTGTTGTGGTTTTTTTTTTTTTTAACTGAATAATGGTCAGGATTGACCAGCTCCGTGTGATGCTGAAGCATGTATAAACTTGTTTTTTTTTTTATTTATTTATTAAAAAGCAACTATGATGACGCCTGGCCCAGATTTAGAGGATTCTTCCCCCCTACCTCCCACCCCCAACACCATGGTCCTGATCTGATTTTCATGCAGAATGTGATTCAGTCTCCTGTGTCATCAGGGAGGATGGGAAAGATCCCTTGAAATCCTAAAGAGTTGTTTTTTTTCTTTCCAAATCAGCATAGATCATATTGATGACAGGTTTCTTGTTCCTGGTTGGTTGGCTTTCTTCACCCATAGCTGCTTTTTCCATCAATGCCAGATTTCCCCTGGAGTCAGTAGGTGCTGCGGGGAGGCATAAATGTGAATGGGAAATATAGCATGGGGGAAAGATCCCAATGCCGATTGGGGTCCCTCAGCAGATGCGCTGGTGTTAAAAGGAAGCTAATTATGACTACCTTTGGGGAAAAGCCACCATCAGCAGTTAAAGGGCTCTTCTTGTCCCTTCCCCACTTAGAACATAGTTAGTTGTGCTTTAAATCTCTAAAGATACTTAATGAATGAAATTAAAAAAAAAATCAGTGTTGTGCTGCTACCTTGTGCAGACCTCCGATCACACCCAAGCTCCAATCCTACCCAAGCGACAAAATGTACATCATGATATTGGAACGCACAGATTTCGCCCCTCATGTACTTGTATGCAACTTTGCGGCACAAGCACAAAAGGGGGAAGCTTGTGCCATGATGTCAACACAGGTTTCATCATGCGGCTTCATTGTGGTTAGGAACAGCTGCCTACCGGTATGGGAGGGCTGTGTAATGTGCAGGAAGGGTTCATGGCTTAGGCATTACATAACCCCATCCAACTGAGTTTATCTAATTAGACATCGTTAAGCAAACCACATTGGCTCAGTATCTCAGCAGAGCTTCCAAAAGCAGCACAGCTGGGCCTGGCTTTCCCTGCTTTTGAGTTTTAGCTCCAGTAACATCTGGAGTATCACAGGTTGCCTACCATTGCCATAGATCTTCAGCCTGAGATCATAGACTGGTTCCTCATCCCTCTGTTGCAAGCAGCTGCAAAATTATTTGGTGTGATTTCTCCATTTTGATATCCCAATTTCCTTCCAAGATACTTACTAGATCATTGTTTCTCAACCTTGGCAACTTTAAGATGTGTGGAGTTCAACTCCCAGAATTCCCCAGCCAGCCATGCTGGCTGGGGAATTCTGGGAGCTGAAGTTCACACATCTTAAAGCAGCCAAGGTTGAGAAACATTGTAATAGATTCTGGTCTGACAATTGTGTGTGGTATCTTAATTCTCTCTCCACTTTCAGGACGTTGGTGATGGGAGTCGCTGGGTCCCTGCTCCTTGATTGGTATGGATGGGAAAGCGTCTTCTACTTATCAGGCCTGCTAACCTTGCTCTGGGTATACTGCATGTGTAAATTTCTCCTGCCTGAAAAAGGTAGATAACATTTTTTCCTATCTATCCTAAAAGATCTGTCGTACTTATTAGCTGACACTTTTTGGGGGCTACCATCTTTAAAGGATCATGAGACACTAACCCCTGTGGAAATAGTTGATTATATGCCATCACGTCAATGGTGACTCTTAATGACCACATAGATAGACCTTCTCCAAGATAGACTGTCCCCAAACTGAACTTTCAGGTCGTCCAGTGATGTACCCACAGCAGAATCCGTCCACCTCTTTTCTACCACTTTTCTCAGCATTATAGACTTCTCTAGAAAGCTACGTCTTCACATCATGTGTCCAAAGTAGGATAATTTGAGTCTGGTCAATTTGTACCTCAAGTGAGAACTCTAGGATCCATTTGTTTTCTTAGTAGTCCATGTTGTTCTTGGTCTTCTCCACCCCCAAAATGGAAAAATGCAGTGAAAAATGACAAATGTTATATTTATGAATTCTTGAAAATTGAACATGTTCAGTTCAGTTTTTCCATCTTTGTTTGTGTTTATTTGAGAGATTAAACTATAAACACAATCTATTACCCAGAGAAATGGTTGCTTACATCCAACCTTACATAAGCTGACATTTGCTTATGCACTGGGACTTTCCTCTACTCCTTTCTCTCCTCTCTCCACATGCTTTTGTAATTTACTTTCAGAGCAGGTTTGGTGGACAGTGGGGCTGGCAGAAAAAATAGAATCTGCATCTGCTCAACTGGATACAGTCTATTGCGGTGTTTCTCAACCATGGCAGCTGGAAGATGTGTGGACTTCAACTCCCAGAATTCCCCAGCCAGCATGGAATTTGAAGTCCACACATCTTCAAGTTGCCAAGGTTGAGAACACTGGTCTATTAGATCAAACCCAGATTTAGGCATAGAATTAAAGTTGGAAGGAGCCATTTCAACCATCTAACTCCTTGCTGGGAGCAGGAATCTAAGTTAACACACAGAGTAGACCAAATCAAAGCTATAGGATTTTGTCTGGATCTCTGTTGTACAGTTTTGCTTCACACACAATTTACATTGGAAATGTCTTATTTTGCAACTGATGAGAACCAGTCATGCTGGGGTTTTTTGTTTTTGTTTTATCCTCTTGTGACAAACTAGTTCTCACTGGAGGTGGTAAATCTATGTCTCTGAAATGCCATTTAAGATTGCAGTTCAGGGGAGGGCAGGATCTTGCTAAATACTATGAACTCAGGATGTGCAAAAATCACTCCTCCAAAATCACTGAGTGTTGTACTTCCCTGTTTATCACCATGTACCTGTTTATATTTTGTAGAAATAATAATCTCACTACACGACTTGGCAAAGGGCCTTTCCTTATCATCCAAACAGACCAAAATGCCTTGGAGAAAAATATTTAGAAAGCCTCCCATCTGGTAAGTTTCTATCATGCTGGCATTTAGAATTTGCTCAGTTATTGCATTTTAGGGTTTTCTGCATTGACTCCTTAGGCTGCTCACCTCCTCCAGAAATGAAGGCAGCTTAAGCAATTCCCATCTGGGAATTTCACTCCCTCCCTTTGCATTGGCCATGGTGATATCTGGGTGGCGTTTGCAATGGGGTCCTGACTGCTGGATTCCCCTGCTTATTCAGCCCTCCTGGAGAGAAGGAAGGAAGGAAGGAAGGAAGGAAGGAAGGAAGGAAG